ACTAGTGTAGGTAAAATGTAAAATGCGTCGTTTTACATTGTTCATCATAATACATATAGAAGATTTTACAGGAGTTTCCATTTCCATGGAAAGAATTCAAGATTCTGTTAACCAAGTAACCAAGATTTTTTGGCAAATATTCGTGAAAGCAATATTTTTCAGACAAGGGAAATGACACTTTTTAACGTTGACCTCTATTTGTGACCTTGACCTTTAGAGTGTCGGAACTTTTATTCGCCAGTGTTAATTCAAGTGTATATGGAACTTCGTGAAATTTCTGTGACTGTAAGTGGAACATTTTATATTTTCTCTCTAATGATAACCTGGCTTTACATGCGGTATTCGATGTCAAAAGGAAAACCAGTCACATAGTAGTCCCCTAAAACTCCACAGCATGACAATTAACTTTAACATACGGTATACTGAACGCGTTTCGTCTATAGACAATAAATGTTACGTCTTCTGAATTTTATTTGTTTGTTGTTTTTATCAAAATTGGCAAAATTTCCAGTTCTACATTGTTCACACTTTGAGCTGTATAGAAAACATGGAGTATACATGTCTTTTAGACCTCTTGTTTTGTGCGGAATACTGCCAATGTTCGTTCTGCCATATCGATCGCAGATAAGGAGTTTTAACAACTCCATTCAGAAGTATACCTATATGTGCCACCAGGTATTAATTAATTAAGGTGTAATCTGTGGGTATTGTAGAGGTATACACCCGTGCAACTATTACTGTACACCCGTTAGCCAGACCGTCGGGCTGGGTTGTTCTCACTCTCCAAACATTAATATCCTCTCCAAATTATACACTCCGAACCCGAGGTGTCACAAATATCGAAGTTACAAAGATTTTCATTCCATGAGTACATTGTACTTCGTCATTTTATCAGATATAGCTTTAGTGCGTACATTTAAATAGGGTAACAAACAAGTGTAAAACAAAATGCAGTGATTGTAACAGTATTTGTTGAAAATATTTCGACGCTCGCGAAGTGAATGATCTATTCCCGATATTTACATTCTGTTCAGTTTAACCTTTTTGTATGTGCGACAAGTAAAACTAACGGGGATTAACTATTTAACTAATGGAACAATCTGACTGGAGATTAAAGGCTGGTCGTTAGGGACAACCCTCAACAATGAGATTAGATTAACAGATTAATTATGTACCCGTTCGTGAAATCTATATACGGTTTTAAGGAATAGTAACATTATTTTATAACGGGACATACACAAAAGGATTAGAGGGAATTTGAATTACTCTTTTTTCTCTTGGACAAATTTTGATCTAAACTTTAAACATGGAATCCACGGAGGAAAGGAAACGGCGTATTTATGGTCCGATTCGGAACCTCCAGGTGGAGGAGATCCGGACTCGCCTGTCCAAGAGTTGTGTTTTGAAGCCGGGGGAATATAATTACACCGACGATAAACTGAAGGCAGTCAATTATGGTACTAGTTACGACACCGACTTCTCCGTGAGTATACCATCAACACCCTGCTTCTACAATTATCTTAAGTACCCAGTAGAGATATATCGAACACCCGTTCACTCTGAACAATCAAGTATTATTATGGTCCTTTATGATTTATAAGATATATGTTCAATAATATTAATGATAATCATAATATATGATTATAAACTTAATCCGAAATAATAAAAATGCATATTTTTTCAATGTACTATAAAAATCGGCATAAATGTATGGACATTTCACAAAATGGCGGGAGGGGGAGGGTTACGAAGGAGGCCTTCCTTTACAATTCATACAACGTCTTAAGTCATTTTAAAGCTAGTTGTCTTCGTCTTCTCATAGATTCATAATTCACTGTTAAAAATGACGAGTGAGGACTTTACGCGTACCGATCACATCATACTTATCCCTTTGTATCATTGTTAAAATACTATCACATGTGTCATGGCAGATCGGTGTCATTGTATTTAATATTCAAGAATTAAAAAATACCCAAAGACTTAATTAATACTTAATTGACAAAATGTCACTCTCATCAGACAGAAAACATATGAAACGTCGGAACATATTCGCACACCCTGCCGATGATACTGGATAAGAAGCAGCTTGTACACGAATTACGCTTTCAATACGACAAAGGAATAGTACCGTAGGTCAACAATGTGTCAATTAAAATTGCCACATAACAAAAGTGCAGCACACACGACGCCAGAGCAAACATCACAAGACCCTGAAGGTTTGGCATTTCTAAGGGTAATTTCTGGTGTTCAATAAAGCAGGTATATTTGTCCAATAGCTTAGTAAAACAACGGTTACTCTGTACTGGAACTGCATTAAAGGACTGTATAGGCAATTATTGAGATCAACCTGACTTCTGACGAAGTGTTCAGAACCGCTTCTTTCAAGAGATAGGAGGCAAATCACATTATTTGTTCCAATGTACAGATCAAAACTATTCAAACAATGTAAAAACAGAGTAATAAAAGGGGACAAAATGTATGACATTTTATAATCACATGGTGTGTCTTATACAAATCCACACACAATACGGCAGATACTTGGTCTGCTTGTAAACCTGTTAATTTAGTAGGGCAAGTCGTAGATTTGGCGTTTTTGTTATTTCTTGTCATACAGTGGAGAGAAGATTCACGGTATAAGTATTCGACTTGGCAAAAATAAATCATTTGAAATTTCACAGATGTATATGATATTACTCATTGAGTGCCCATCTCAATGCTTCTTGTAGTTGGTTGGTTGGTTGTGGGGAGGGAGAAGCATTGCATCAATACAAATGCATCTTATTTAACAGTTAATGGTACAGATATAAATATCAATATATGTACCAATATATAACCTAAATTCATTGACACACAAGTAAAATACAAAATCAATTTGATAGTACGTACTAGTATGACACCCCCCTACAGGTCGGGGAGTAAGAAAGCACCTACTTCTGTTACTCACTGCATGCTGACAGAGGCCACTGATGATGGAACCCCCTGCAGAATTGGGTATTTGTTTTTGTGTCATAACACATGGCGACACATTAACGACCACAATTAATCTGCTGCACCCGTTGAATAATTTGGGATCTTTATATTTTCTCTCTACCTCCTAACAACCTGTATGCTTCTGGGCGCCGCCAAGTCATGTAAGTGGGGAAGGCAGTGGTTCTGTCTCCAGGTCGGGACATACGCAAGTCAATAATAATGGTACATTTGTAGCTGTTATTCCCTGCTAAATGTCCAACAATTGGGGTAATCGTCTCTAAAGGCGGCACCACATCTCATCGCAAATACTTCCTCCAGCAACACATTAAATTCATGGAGACATGTCCTTAAATTACCTTAGCTATTAACTGGGCACCAAAACCAACAAAAGAAATACCGGTACAGCAGTAATAGTAACACATGACGATACACACACCATATCAGCAGTAATTCACAAAAGGTCCGTGCATGGTGCATCATTGGTACACCTGAATGTAGCACATTCATGGGCGTAGCCTGGGAAGGTTGGGTGGGGCTGTTTGCGCGTTGAAAGGGGTATACAGTCTTATTTTTAAAATTCTGTCTTTCCGAAACACTGCCTCCTCCTCCTTTTAACTATTCAATGCAGCCCATCTGAATAATATGATCTTAACAACACCTCGCATGGTCTTTGTCTGACATAGTGTAATGGTTAATCCAAATCACAGGGGCAAGGCACACGTCCCTGTGATCCAAACTTTATTACATCATAATACGATTTTAAACTACTCATTTCCTGCCGATACATACCGATAGAGGGACCCATGATTATAAGTTTGCTGTAAACTTTATTGTGTTAATTGTTTTATTCTCCAGGGCGCCATTCCAGACCCAAGTAACAAACAAGAACAGAAAGGTCAGGTAAGACCGTCCAAACGTCAGGCCACACAACGTTCAGGTTTCAAGCAAACAACCAAAAACCCACGTAATCTGTTGCATCGAAGCGCCAAATACTACAAGCCCGTTATATATTGCTGAAAATGTCTTAAGCTCCATATCCAGCCGAGCCTCTGACATACATTTGCGTAATTAACACATCCAGCCGAGCTTGTGACATACTTTGCGTCTTGAATGCTCAGCATCAGAATAACTGTAGAAGAAAAAGGCTCATTATGTTGCTAGAAATAAAGCCAGGAAGTAATTAAGTGCCTACCTAAAATTGGTTAATACCGCAGCTACCGCGGCGTTTTGACAGACTTTCAATCTATTGTCGATCTTTTATTAGAACAGTTGTAGTTCTGACACGTGCTGAATCTGCCCAATACATTGTATATGGATCTGGGTTTGTGTTACAGTTGACACACCATTTTGAGCTGGGTAATGACAGTGGTGCTAATGTAGACGTAAAAACCTACCAAGACAGTACAACAAAGACCGACTTCCAGGAAAAGCCATGGTGCAAGGTAAACCTTCAATATTATGTCACAAATCGCAAAGCCCTCTGTACACCAAACCATCTTCATACTGGCAACGAATATTGAACCACAAACTTTTGAATATCAAGTAATTACCTCTCTTTTCCACAATTTATAGAGTATCACAAAAGTAAATGTGATTCTCGTTCCATTCCATAACTGTTTAAAACGTTGCCAAATACAATACATTTGTGTCGGGGAAGGGTGAAGGTCTTCCAAGTGGACAACTACGTAAGGCATCACTACAAAGTTTGAACACGGAATTAGATG